AGCATCTGGTGGATTTGACCCGTGCGCCTCTGGGATTGTAGTTGCAGCTTCTTGCCACTAGGCCACCAGAGCTCCCCTAAGAAAGTGTGCCTTGCATAACTGAAACTTCATTGACTTTTTCAGCTTCCATATTTAAATTTTTTGTTTGGTTTTCATTTGTAATTCTACAGTGAATTTTTTCCCCTCAATATTAAAGATAATTCTTTATCTAGCAAATATAATGTTATTGTTATCATAGAGCATTTCTGGCCTACTACTAATCATACAAGTGCCAACCATCTGACAGTGAGTAAACCAAATCACTATTCCTGAGAGAGATTTTCCGATGGCTCTCTTATATTTCTATATATCTTAAGAGTAAAAAAAAAAAAAAGAGTAGAGGCTCTGACTAGATTTGCCTTGGACTCTCTTTTCAAGGATGAGTATATAGGAAACACCTTTGGAAAATAAAGATGCTTTCCAAAGCAATGGATAGGTATATGTACTGTCCTTTAAAGATTAGAATCCTCTTAGCACAGGGGTCCATTGTGTGTGCTAGTGTCTCCTAGTTCTAGTCACATCAACCTGTGGCAATTTTGACTAGAAGACCAGAAGAAAGTAATAAACAATTCTTTGTCCTTAACTGAGGAGTGTTGAATTTTGTGTGGCAATTTGAAACTATGGCAAGCTAGTATGTGAGCTTTCCAGTCAAATAAAACTTTGAGCCTTTCAGAGATCTTGACATCTACTTCGTTTTCAAAATGTCTAAAATCAGAAACAATAGCTTCCTATCAGTTAATGACTGGTGGGCATTCTCCTCTTCTGAAGTGTGCTGTTATATGTTGTAGAGTCAGAAGTGACCCATAGTGACTGTTCAGTGCGTTTGCAGGGCCAGTAAATCAGATAAGAGGGTATCTCTTCCACAGAGCAGCTCGTGGATTTGAACCAGGTGTCTGTAGGTTGGCAGCACAGCTCCTTACCACTAGGCCACCAGAGCTCTCGTATTTACAGCCCCTGAAAACTCACTGGAGGGACAACTATGGGTTGATTCCAACCTGACTGCAATCAGCAATATCATTCCAGGAACATTTCATAATAAAATGACTTTGAATACAGCAAAACACAATACATTTTTGGGGTATTATGCAAGTTTCTAAAATATAGATGATATATTTTATATTTCATTAGCAGTATTTTTTCTATTTAGTTGTGTTGCTAAACAGAATGAGTGAATTATTATATGTATTCTTAAAATGCTTTGTAAATAGGTGTCATTTTCTGAAAATACTCACTGGGTTGTGTTTTATATATAGTGTCCTTATTATTTAGCTCTCTTTTTAAAATATAATGGACTAATAGTCTTTGAACAATTACTTTGTGTTATGCTTATAATATGGATTCTATCTCTTAATTCTCTCAATAGTCCTAAAAGGGGAGATGATGAGATTGTCCTCATTTTCAGCAGAAAGGGGAGAAATATAGAAAGGATGTAGAGCTTCCCTGAGACTGTGAGTTAAGAAACAGTTGGACTGGTTTTCAGATGAGTCTTTTAAGCTCTCAAGCCCAAATTCTTAACCATTACACTCTCCTATAAAATGGGGAGAAGGGAAAGGGGAAAAAAATACTAATTTACCTAGAAATTCATTAGTACTGTCTAAGGACTTTCCTAAATGGATTAAAGCTCAACATCAAGAAAAAGAAGATTCTCACCGCTGGGCCAGTTGTCAGCATCGTTATAGGTGAAGAAGAGATTGAGATTGTTAACTTCTTCCATTTGCTTGGCTCCATAATCAAACTCTTGTACCAACAGCCAGGAAATCAAAATTGCATTGGGAAAATGTGCTACCAAGGACCTCTTCATAGCACTGAAAAGCAATGATGTCATTTTAGAGACTAAGGTACACGTAATCCAAGCCATGGTCTCCACAATCACTTTCTATGCATCAGAGAGCTGGACATTGACTAAGGATGGCAGAAGGAGAATTGATGCCTTTGAATTGTGGTTCTGGAAAAGATGATTGAATATAACACGAACTGCTAAGAGAACAAACATGCCTGACCTGGAGAGGGTGAAACCAAGCTGCTCCTTGGAGGCAAGGATTTTGAAGCTTTGTCTCAAATACTTTGGGCATATTGTGAGGAGGAACCAATCCTTGGAGAAGCACATCATTCTTGGAAAGGTGGAGAGACCTCACAAGAGAGGAAGACCCTGGATAAGATTAATTGACTCAATGACTGGGGTAGTGGGGTAGGTATGACACAAACAATGAAGTTGGCTTAGCATAGGAACAGAGTTCAGAGGTGTTGTACTATGTCACTTTGAGTCACAAGGATTGTTGTTGTTGTTAGAAACAATCAACTACTTATAGTGACCCCATGAATAACAGATCTGAACCTTGCCTATTTGAAATATATTAATAAGCTCAATTTGGTATGTAATATATAATTCAATATATATAGATAACTTTTTAGTCCCCATTTAAAAAATAGTAGGAAAAAATAAAGCAATATATGAACTGATAGTTACACATCCAAAAGTTGGGGAAATTCTAAGTTGTGGTTCCCACAGCAACTGCCGCTCAGCCTCAGGGCTTTGAATGTTGCAGTCCAAACTGAACACCATATGCAGCTCTGTCAAATAATATTGTACATGCTCTTGGGGAACCTGCAAATGGCTACTGTGGGAACAATGAGTGTGGAAATTATCAGTTCCTATTTTATCACTGTAGTTTGAGGCATTTCATTTATGCAGCTATTTCACAGTGCAACAAAGACGTTTCAACTGGTTATATGTCTTGGTAGTATTACGTTGATGTTTAAATTATTAATGCAACCTGAAACAAAATGTCATTGACTTGTGATATTATTGTCATGTTTTGCTTCTGATTTATATACTGTCATGTTTGTTCTCTTCTCCAACCCCCATTCCCAGTAGAAAAGCATCGTTTGAGGAGGTCTTGTTTTGCATTCACAAATGTAGCTCTTAGGCAGGTTCAAGATGCTGGTTAACCTTTGAAATGTACTACGTGCTGGTGTTTAAGAGAGATAGATGACTAAGAAGTGCATATTAGAGCCTCTCAACACAAGGGATCATCAATCTTCAAGTAGCCTGGCTTCATGCGGTGAATGGCCATCCAGAATGCACTGAGCTTATCTATCTACCAGTCATGGAAAACTCAGGACATTTGGCTTCTTATTTTGGTATCTTCTTAGAGGAAATGTCAATTGGGCATTACCAACAGCTCTGCCTTGCCTTAATATCTCTTCTGTAATTTAATATACTGTCTGACACTGTGTCCCAAACCTCTAACCTTTTTTCATTATTTTGTTGATTGATGACTCTGTTGTTAAAATACAAATTTCTATTCTAGATCTCTTAGAGACATGATTAAAAACACAGTGTTTAGCTCAGGTAATTTAATAAGTTTCTCATGTAATATCAGCCAACAAGTTTATGTAGCAAAAGAGAGAATCCTAATAAATTACACATATTGTAAGAAGAAATTATTCACAGAAACTTTTAAGAAAGAAATGAATTTATATTAGTGTGTTAGAAGCCTTATTACCCTAGCGATTCCTTGCAGTGATTTTACTTTAATTAGCAAACAAATAGTGGCAGTACCTACTAAATGCCAGAACCTGTAGATCCAAGGGAAAATGCAAAAGGGTTGCTTCTTGGCCATTGTGTTTTCAGAATCTTAAGTATTTTAAAGTATTCTAATTTCATTAACATGACCACTGTTTTCCGTCAGGCATGTTTATTATTATCCAAATAATCTTTAAAAAGTCAGCGTAAATATTAGGAAACTAATGAGGAAACAATGGCTAGGATTATAATGTAAGACACATTCTTAGGTATGCGCTTATTTTTCTGAACAACCACATTCATTCCATATGCCTATTTTCAAATCCTGGTATACTTTTGCAAGGGCTGTAACAGATTTTGTTTTATTTTTTTAAAAAATAATATCTTGTAAAAGACTACAAGGGCAGTTTTGTTCATGCTTCTGTTTGTGCCTTTACCTGCCGTTGGCCCTTTATAAACAGAAGTAAACAGTAATGTTTCTTTCTGTTGTTTTAATTGTGATTTTAATGAAAGTGTACAAAAAAGATTGAGTTTGCATGCAGGCATTCATTCGTTCATTATTGAACATTTTCCTCCTTCTCCCTTCGCCAGTCCACTTTGCTTGGCAAAAATCACAGTAATTTATGAACCAAAAGGCTCAAAAATCATAGCTTTTGAATAATTTCCAACTCATGATGATCCATGAGTGGCAGAATAGGTTAAATGATCAATCACTAAGTGCCTTGAGCTTCAAGTCCTCCCAGAGACTCTCAGTAAGAAAGAGCTGATGATCTATGTCTGGAACTTACACTATTGAATACTCAGTGGAGCACCTTTCCCCTCTGATGCACAGAGTGCACCTCCTTGAGTACCTTGACAGACACCCCTAAATAGTCAAATAACTATATGAAATTTCACAGAAAGAAGGAAATTAGGTGGGAAATGTTATGCAAAAGGATGCGTGCTCCTTTTGCTAAGTGGTGGTTGTAGAGACCTGAGGAACTGACAACGAACATTGTGAAGATGTTGCTAAATGTCAAAACTTGTAATGGTCTCTGCAGTCTTGTTTGAAATCCAGGTCACTAATGAATTTTGAGCATGCATCCTTAACTTCACATATATTTACTAATATATCATCACTTTTCAGTAACACCTGTAATTACTTCATGAACATACACAAAATATTAAATTGCCATGTGAAAAAATGAACACAAATCGATACTTGCTTCTTTTTAAATTCATTCTAATGTTTTCCTAATCCCAGTATTCTCTTGTTTATATTGTGGGGCATACAACATAAGCTTTAAAATAAAGCTTTTTTATACACACACATTAGTCGCCTTCCCTGGGTGAAAGGCCTTGTTAGCATGATCATCCCTTTTACGACTTGTGTTTTATTTCATTCCATTTTACATCATAGCAGTAAACATTTCTCTTTGTATTGTGCCATCTCTAGGATGAAGATGGGGCAGAAGAAGACAACAGTCGTGTTGAGCCAGTTGGACATGCTGACACCGGTTTGGAGAATATACCCAACTTTTCTCTGGAGTAAGTTACTGATGGGTTTAATCAGCTCTGTAATATCTGTGTAGCGTCACTGATAGCAGCAAGTACTTGAAAAGCATATGGCATGAGAATGTTTGTGTTTAGTGAAAACACATGCCTCGTGTGGGTTTGTTTTCCCCAAGAGCATCTTTCATCGATTGAGTTAGTTATGTAATGTACAAAGTATAGCATGGAACTTCACAGGTACCTGTCCTGAGTTTCATGCTTTGACAAATACTATTAAATCAGAATATTAAATAATATTTGATTTAATGTGTTTGCCGTGTTTAACAGCACTGTGAACACTGTTTGCAGATTGCTTTTGTATGTAAGTATTTTGGTCATTTGTTTCTCACCTTTACTCAAAAGAAATCATAGGCATAGTTGAAATAATAGTTGGATCATATAAGCGATAGTTAAATTATATTTATTGATATATATATCTACACACACACACATATAATAATAATTTTAAGAACTAGAATTTTTCAGCATGTTTGAAGACAAAATTAGAGGGTACTATTTAAGAGACTCTGAACATGATTTTTAATAGGAAAGGTCAAAAATGTTTTTCCTACTTCAGCAGAACTTTATAGTTAGTTGAGTCTTGGCATTTTAAAATGGAAGATGTTCTTAGGACTTCTTCCTTTGGTAAGTCAGAGCAGAAGGCAATTAATTTTTTCCCTTTTAGGTGGAAGAGTCTAGATATTAACATTTATATTTGTAACTCTGTCTTCACTTGGTCTTTCAAAAGATAGCTCTAAGATTTTTTTCAGTAAGATTAGACAGAGTCCAAAATTATATGCTATTTGCCTTTCTTGCACTCTTATATACCTGCATTGAAGACATGCTTGTCTTTGCAGAATGGCTTTTAGAAAGACAACAGATGGAAATAAATTTAAAATTATTACAGTATTCTTAATTAACAAATCAATGATTAAATAGGTGTTTAAATGATATTAAAAGTATTTTAAATAGGATGCTTCAAAGCTAATGAGAATACAAAACATCTCAAATGTGTTACTTTAGTAAATATTTAGACAGAATGGCAAAATTTTCTATTATCCTAATTAGTGTATGTGATCCAATATAGGCAAGTCCTTTCCTCTTTTACCTGCTTGTTTGTAATGGTATTTAGCTTCTGTATTATATAAGCAGTGTATTCACAGTATATAGAAAAACTCCTAGGGTTTTTTTAAAAGAAATATAACTAAAGAATTAGTTTTGCATTCAAATATGTTTTACATTAGAATATGTTTTGCATTATGTATCATAAAATTGGTAATACAGTCTAACATATTAATTTCTCATTATCCAGATTGATTTAAATAGATATTTAATGGAATTCTTATTTTAAAATATAGAGAAGTACTGCTTTGATCTCCACTGCAGAATAAACAGTAAAAGACTATACAGCAAACAAGTGAGCAAACAAACCAGAAAGTCACCAGCCAACTGCTGTCAACTCAATTTTGATTCATTAGGATTTTACTTAAATGCTTTGAAAAATTTATTTACCAAATGACCAACTTAGACCAATTTTTATTAAACCTAACTTTATTAATAGAACAAATTCAGTGAAATGATTTGATAAACATATAGTGAATGTTGTGCCCCTTGCATTGGGCTCCTTAATTATGTTATAGAAGTGATGTGTGTTACTTCCTGTCATTGAAGTAATTTTGTGCCTTTAAATTTCAATTATAATAATGTCTGTGAGAATTAATTGATTGTCAGTACATGTGCATTCGCTTTGAGAAAGAGGCTTCATAGCCCACCCTTGCAGATCTCTCAATTTGTACCCAGTAATGAAGGGGTTCATCTCTAGACTGCCTCTGAGAGGTGACAACTCTGACCTCACTGGATGGTTGGACATATCAAATAATGTGACATGAGTATAGTAGCGCATTCTAAATTACAGCGTGCTAGGTAGCTACAAGAACTTTATTCGGTTAATCTGACATAACATTACTTCCAGTATTGGGAATGGCAACATTTCCATAGAAAGATGTAAATTTTCCTTACAAAATGTATTATATTGCCCCGAGTATGGTCCAAGAGAAATGGTCTGTGAGATTTTTAATGTAGTTGTTTCTGATGATTGCTCCCCCTCCATGCCCTCAGACTAGTGTTCAGGTATGTAGTGTTTAATGTTGCCTCATCCCCATGCTTATATTCCAGAATGTGTTATGTATATGCGTGTGTGCTTGGTGGGATTTTCGTGTTCTCCTCTGTTGTTTGTTATGTGTGTCCGTGCTGTCGTGGTCTTTTGGTTTTGTTTTGTTTCGATTTTGGTTTGTTTACAGTACATGTTCATGCTCCCTCATTCATCATTGTCTCACAGTGATATGGTAAAGCTCGTACAAGTCCCCAACGATGGCGGGCCTCTGGGAATCCATGTAGTGCCTTTCAGTGCTCGTGGCGGCAGGTAACGTATCTTGGAGGTTTTTAATTGAATCATAATTGAAGTGTTTTTATCATCATGTATGCTCAGCTCGAATGTGGTGGTGCTTTAGCATATGCTCAACAGAGAACATTTTCATGTAAGGGCAATTGCTGCATCATTCTTACATAGACATCTCATCACCAAAAAGTCCTTGGGATGATGTGCAGCAACACTAAGTACCCATGCATTTGAATGATCCTACTGTGCTCATTGTTCATCACATTCTTGCAAATGTTTGCCTTTGCCATAAATGGATGACAGACTTCTCCAGCTGGATTTAGAATGTTAACTAGTGCTGCAAATCATTTTCCAGAGTTAACCAATGAAAATGAGCTAATTGACTTAGGGAAAGATTCATTTTTTAATATCTATGTAATATCTATGTATATTCCCTAAGACTCTTTATGGTTATGTTTAAAACTTTAAAAAGTAGGTAAATTTTCTCCCCTACCATGTGGCCCCTTCTCTTAACCTCTGCACACTTACATGTTACAATTGAAACTCTTTAATAATCCTGATTTTACTAAACACCCTATATATCTGTAAAAATGTTGAGTGCTGTATATGCTGTCATAGACCTTTTCTGTGAAGTATCCATTGTGTTTTTTCTTTCAACATATTTAGGCACCATGACATGTTTCTCAATGTATTTTAGCTTTGCTTATATTATCAACAGCAAGCCAAGTGGATGTATATTGACATTTTTCTCTTGGTACTTAAACCTACTTACTTAGCAAACTAAAATTTCATCTCATCTTCTCCTATTTACATACCTAACACTTACCTGGTGAGATATATTTCTGACATAGTTGGCTTTCTAATTTTTCACTTCTTTTTTCTCTGTTTTATTTTTTCATTTTAACTTCCTGTGCTCAGGCATAGGAGTAGAGAAGGCTAGACATTAACCACAGACGAGTGAGAACTTAGAACATAGTTAATACTGTCATGGAGGAATGAAAAACATCCAGTGTGTTGTAAAAGACAGATGTAGTATCAACTGCAGATATGTAATTAAATTTTCTTTTTACTAAATGTTTAACCAGTTGTACTACCTTCCTGGTATATGTCAGTGGCTGTGGTGAGGCCAGTTGTCATCTGTTTGGTAAAGCACCTGCTTTATGTAATGTCCTGTAACTGAAATTGTGATTTATTTAGAACTGCTGGAGCTAGAGGCTTGGCAGTGTGTGGTATAATGAGAAATGCACCTTGAACTTTTGACTGTAGTTAGATTCACAATCTTTTTTTCTTCTTTTTAATTTTTATACCTTGGCAAAGTGTTAAAATTTTGTTTAAAAAGCTTTACCTTAAACAAGTTAGTTCTTTCCAAATAATCATGAGCTTTATTTCCTTTTGAAAATATACCTTTAAATCATCTCAGAGGTTTAACTTTTCCATTCTTTTAAATAGTAAACAAAGATAAAATAGTATGCAGGGGTTGTAATTTCACAATATTAATTTGTCTTTAACCAATGAGATTTAATTGTGAATTCCTCAGCTTTAGTCTAACTTTCCAATTAGAAATTTTATTTTCTATCCTTTATTATCCATTGTCTTACATCAATGTGAAAAGTTATTAGGGTGAAATAAATACTGTCTTACATCAATGTGAAAAGTTATTAGGGTGAAATAAATACATGAAGAGTTTGATGCACAAGAAAATTTAGATAGGAAAAGAAATTTACTAGGAAGATTAATTTAAAAGTACTAATAACTCAACTCAGTTGCTGGCTCCAGTGGCTTTTTCTTTTGACATGTGAAATTTGTTCTTCAGAAAAAGATAAGTTGCTCAATTTTTCTGAACCTGAGTCCTTTTTAGTACTGTTTTCCCCCCCTGTTTTGATACTTAATAAGGGAAACTGTGTAAGGTTTCTACATACGGGACAAAGAGATTTAAGAAAAATGAATTCCTTTTTATTGTTTTTGGGTTACAACCAACTCATAGCTGACCATTTACAGACTTTTCAGAGACTGTAAATCACACGGGAGGAGATTACTCCTCTTTCCCCTGTGAAGAAGCAGCTTGTGGGTCCTAACTGTCTTCCTTTGAGTTTGAAGCACAGTTCCTCACCCACTAGGCCACCATAGCTCCCTTGGCTTCCATCACATATCACCAGATTTCATATTGGGAAACATGAAAAATTTATTTTGCTTTTGCTCAGCATCTGTGTTTCATCTCCAGATAGAGCTAAGTTAGTAACATTAGGGTGATGCTGAGAGAGGGAGGGAGGGAAAGAAAGGAGAGAGAGAGAGAGAGAGAGAGAGAGAGAGAGAGAGAGAGAGAGAGAAAACGAGAGAGAGAGAACGACCATGCGGGCAAGCAAGAGAGTGAGCACAGACTGTAAAAATGAGTCTTTGGAAGCTCACAGACACCTGTCCCCCTGGTTCTCAGGAAAATGTGTGGAAGTAGCTTTCTCTTCATTTCCGTTAAGATAACCAATCCAAACACTTGAAAAACTGCCGTTGAGTCAGTTCCAACCCGTAACAACCCTTCTTGGGCTTTCCGAGGCTGTAATTATGGTAGAAGTAGACTGTCCATCCTTCTCCTTTCGAACTGCAAGTAGATTGACACTGCTGGAGGGGTGCAGACTTGGTGTTCGCAGCCCAGCTTGTTAAAGATTGAGAGCACCCTTCCAAGCCCTTGCTGTATGGCAAATCCATGTCAGGTGCTAGGAAACAGTCATGAACAGGACACGGTCTCACTCCAGATATTTGCTGCCTAGGTGGAGTGATAGCTGAGAAATCACACAATATAATAACATGATAAATGTTGATATATAACAGGTATTCTGTGAGCTGATAGAGGAAGGACTGGTAAGCCAGGCTGGCTTGTTTGGGAAGATGATTTTAAATGTGATGACAGCTTGTAAAGGGAGCGGCTTCAGCTCCTTGGTGGCTGCAACAGCAAATGAAGCAGCACAGCACAGAAGAAAGGAAGGAATTAAGTGGAACTCATGAAGAAGTTCACCTTTATGTGGTGGAAATAAAGAATGCATGTGCATGGTCTGTAAGTTGGAATGTCTCAGAGCAACTTTCTGTATGCAAAAATCCACTCAGACCATGGCATTGTGAAGTCCCAGCTCTGGAGATGTAACTCTTTGAGGTGCGCTTATTTTTATGAAAGTGACAGACACATGTTGGTGTTGCCTTCTCATTGAGATCTTAAAAGATAAAGCATCTGTAAAAAATAAGGAACAATGGGAATTAGGCTCTCTAACGGGAAATAGCAAGATGCAGAACACCTCACATCAAATGTAATTCAGGAAAGCAGTAATTTAAACTTGTGAAATTACTATTAGAGGCATTTTAGATCCTTGTAATTATTATTGTGACCTGATTCATAAGGAAGTTTTTTTTCTATGTAAGAATCCTTCTAGGTCTACTAAAAAGGGCTATTTGTTGAATGTCTATCGTTGATTAGTGTCATCTGTGACAATTAGTAGTATTTTCTCATGCCTTTACCCCTCCTTGAATGGTCACCTCTAGGTGATCTAGAAATAAGAAAAATACGTGATAACAAAGTGGTGTTATCTTCCTCTTGTTGCTGTGAGTGTTTTGAGATTTTTGTGTGTATGATCCTCCCCCCTTCAAAATGCTCTTCTTGTCTTATATTGAAAAATAATTTTAATGAATCCCCATCTGGGACTCTTTATTCATACTGTTTCATTACCTTGATGTCAATTTTCACTTAATATATGTGGTTTCATTTCCTTCTGATTTAAATGTCAAATATAACCTTCTTATGTAAATCACAAATGCTACTATTTTCAGAAAGGTTATGTAGGAAAACTGTAAATTTTCTTTAAGAAAAAAAATATATGTTGTTAGGTGCCTTGGAGTTACTGTGACTCCTAGCTACCCTATGAACAACGGATCTGAACGTTGCCCTATCCTATGTCGTCCTTACCATCTCTGATATCCCATTGATACATTCACTGTCAGTCTGTCTTGTGAAGGATCTTACTCTCTTTTGCTGACTCTCCACCTTTCCAATCATAATGTTCTTTTCCAAAGTCTTACCTTTCTTATCAACTTGCCCAAAGTATGTGAGACAAAGTTGTACCACATGGCTCGAAGGCATACTTTGGTTGCATTTTCTCCAATGCATTTTTATTTACTCTCTTGGCAGTCCATGAGATATTCAGTACTTGCTACTGGAATCTAGTCCAAAGTCACTGCTCAGTTAAAATTATAATAAAGTAGTATTATCTCCCTTTTGTTGCTGTAAGCATTTTGAGGTTTTTGTGTGTTTGATTCCCCCCTGCCCCCTTCAAAGTTCTCTTTTATATTGAAAAATAAAATTAATCCCCATCTGGGACTCTTTATTCATACTGTTTCATTAACTTGATGTCAGTTTTCACTAATGGGATAAATAGTTCCCATGACTCTTCTTCATGGTAGCCTAGGTAAGGAGCTGTGCTGTCAACCTGAAGGCACACAGTTCAAAGCCACCAGCTGCTCCGGAAAAGAAAGGTGGGCATTCTCCTCCAGTGCAGTTTACTGCCTATGAAAACCTGCTGAAGGCTCAGCTCTGGCTTGATAGTACATAATAAGTTATGATTTTATAACGCTTGATTCACATAATCTGTGGTCTATTATTCGTGGAGGAAGTACACCCAGGCTGCTCCCTAGGGATAAGCGTGGTGAAACCTCCTTGTACATATTTTGGGCATGTTCTCTGGAGAGGCCAGTCCTTGGAAAATGCATCATGTTGGGAAAGATAGAGGGTCAGTGAGAGAGAGAAAGACCTTGCATGAGATGGAGTCAAACAGTGAGTGCGACAGTGGGCTTGAGGATGGCAAGTGTGGCCGGAGCTGGTTGGAGGAAGGCTCCTTTTCTTCACAGGGTTAGTCTGAGTTTATCGAATCAGTGAGAGCTGACAACACTGTCACTCCCAACCTGGCATCACATCCAAAACAAAACCATTTCTTTTTTTAGCTTACTTTGCAATTTAAATTCTCTAAAATAGGAGCATTCCAAGAGGT